CCGGCGACGAAAGCGTAACCTGCCAGCTGTGCTCCCCCCAGTGCTTGGATTGCAGCAGTACCTACTCCCATTGCATCAGCTGCCGAGACAACACCTTCCTGTTCCGTGACTCCTGCGTTCCGAGCTGTCCAGGGTATGGAGCAGTTGTGATTGGTTGACGGGTCCAGGCGATGAAACTCTATGAGGCATACTCTTTGTGCGATTTCGTACTCCCCTTCAACAATTGAAAACAATATGATATCCTTTTGGGGGCTGATTAGATTGCAGAGTGGACTTTATTTTTACCTCCACCTGAGTATTAACCCTGGATTTATAGAGGACCATGCTTTTCTGGGCAACAGAGGGCGCTGTTGCTCTGATGCGAATCATAGGTGACATTGCAGACTTTGTAGGTTTTCCAGTTCCAACTGTGAACCCAAAAGCTGCTCATTGAAAAAATCAACGAAAAAGCGTTGTTTGTTCCCTCATTAGCCTATGCTGCAACAGCCATGTGTCACTGTCAAAAGGGGGAAATTGACAACCACAAAAAATAATTCCACCAATTGTTTGTTTCTAGAATGAAATCACAGCTTTACTCATGACCATGGAAAACCATATTAGCATAGGTACTGAAAAGCACCAAATGTCTTTGAAAGTCGCAAAAAAGTCAATTGAAATTAATTTTAATAATGGAAACACAATGTTTCCAACGAAGAAAAAACTGCTTTGCAAAGCCAGTAAAACCGACTTTGGTTCCTTGATTGCGTGCATCAACTAATTTTGTTTTTCTTGTGTGGAACATGTGGCCCCTCTCTGTCCTTACAGTTGCTTGTAGTCTCCACTGAGATAATGCAGTGCTTCTTTTCCTTTCCTTCTCTGGTTGCTGCTTGTTCAGGGGATTTGTGGAAGACATCGAGTCTAACCGTTGCCTGGTCCAGGATAGAATCTGCCCCTTGCACTGCAGAAGCTGCGACGAATGGGGAGAATGCCAAGGTAGGTGAACTTTTTCTTGGTTCGCACGTTGGAGGGACATTTTCTAGCATGAGCCCCGAGCTGTACCATGAGAGGGCGCTATTTTCTTGGCAACTGAGGCTCCTTTGGCCAGAACTGAAGTTTGCTGGTTCACAAACGACTAGGAAGTACGCACGTTGCTGTCGCATCGCTACCAACAAAATGAACACTCCCGACCAGCATTCCTCTTTTCAAGGGGATGCCTTTGCTCAGGGCGGATTAGCAGTAGGTCCTAAACTAATCACGTTTTTGGATGAGCATGGCATTTGCCTTGTGCATGTAGTGCCCACTATGCCCTGATGTGGAGGTTGGTACACACATGGCACATACTGAGGAATTGGTGTAGAATATTTGAGCGTCTGGGCTCTGTTGATTTGGTGGGTTAGAATCGCCAACAGGGTGGACTGTGGGCCAGTAGGAGTAATCAAACTGCCAAAATGCATGTGACTGTGTCTTTGCCAATGTGTCCTAAGTTAGGTCCTTCATCGTGGTACAACCAAGCATACAGTAAGAGGCCGGAAATCCAGGTCACTGTCAAAATACTCCCCCAACATTAAGTCTTTCTCTGGGTCAATTTGCCGGACTCACAGACCAATGATCTTCAGTAACATGGTGTTGTCAAAGCAGTGAAATTGGTGGTGCCGTCTATCCCAACGTACAAATTACCATAAATTAGCCAGACTTGATAGAAAAATCGTTGTCCTCTATGGTATCACATCATGGAGCACTGCTTTACATCGTCTGGTGCAATTTATCGGCACCTCTGTGAAACCAACCCACAATGGCAATAATTTATTCCAATTTATTTCCTGATCACTCCAGAATGCGAAGATGGCTATCTGGCCTATTTTGGGGAATGCATGCAAGAAAATTCGCAGTGTCCTGAGCAGCAGTACCGGGCTCTTCAGTCCGACGGACGCCCAGTGTGTCGAGACTGCACCCCTCACTGCAAGCGCTGCCTGGGACCGCGGGAGGACGAGTGCCTAATCTGTGCCGCCGACTACCGACTGGCCAACGGGCACTGCCGGCAGAACTGCAACACAGGACAGTTTCACAAAGACGGCGTTTGCATGGGTAAGATTCATCCGCCACTCTGGGCATTTTTGTAACCCACAGAACTCAAAACAAATTTGTGGAAATATGTTAATGTTTCTTTAACCCCTTCGCACCGGGAGGCGGCTATAGCCACCGTAGAAATTGAGATCCTCAGCCCACTTTTCAGCTATTATTCTCTGCCCACGCTCAAGCGAACACGGTGAAAGAAGACAGACCCTGGCTCTTGTATATATGGTAATTGGTCTTTGTGCGTAGCCCAGAAATGAAAAGACCGATTTTGCATCATAATCACCAGCTTCACAATAATCCCCACTTTGAAAAGAGGCAACGGGAATGTGGAAGGGTGAGTAGAGCCACATGCCACCGAACAATCAGCCTTTTCACCATGTAATTCAAAGCGTGCAGAGCACGCAGGGCCACAAACCGAGCATTTGCGGTTTAGCAGGGGGCCTTCGTGGCCAAGCGAGGCTGGAATTCTTGGAGTCGCCTTTCGGGAAGAAATTCCCGGGTTAGCACTCAAGAAGAGTCCCACACATGTTTTCTTGAAGTCGTAAATTAAACTGTTAGGCAACTGTTGTTACTGGGATGGCCTTTGAGTTTGAGCTTTGTGCGTTAAAATATGGACTTCTGTCAGAGATGTTACGCAAGCTGTCTCGATAAGTTCCCTTTTTTAGGTTTGTTCAGAAACCTCAAAACATTTAATTCCTCTGATGGTTTGCATTTGATGCATTTTTTCCCCTGAAAGAGATTTTTTATGTTGCCACCTCAATGTTAATTTTCACATTCCGTAAGGACAGCGCATTTATCTCTTTCTGAAAATGACATTATAATGTGTACAAGCTGATGAAGGTTTCTCTGTTGCAGAAATTCTGGGACATAGTTGGATAAATTTTCAACTATAGTGAAGAATAAAGCAATTTTTTTTTGAGTTTTTTAATTTTAGGTTTTGTTTTCTTGGATAGCTTGCCACCCATCATGTGGAAGCTGTACAGGTCCGTCCCCATACGAGTGCACCTCTTGCCCCGACGGCCTAGTGCACACTGTCAGCGGTGCCGACAAGGGCGAGTGCAGCGTCGGATGTCCCCAGGGGACGTTCCGTCACGGGAGCCAGTGCCGGGCTTGCCACGACACCTGTCAGAGCTGTGATGGTGAGGGCGAGGAGCGCTGCCTCAGCTGCCAGTCCACCTTCTTCCTCACAGGTAAGGCCCACTCTTGTTCCTTCTGCCGGGGAAAATTGCAGTGTCTCACGAGGGCCTGGCTGACATTTAGTTTCTTCCGAAGCAACAGAATCGTTAAACAGCGCTCACCATAAGTAAACCCCTCGGTGAATTTGAAAAGTCACCAGCGCCACTTTCTAGTTTTAGTTCATATTAAAAAGAGCAAACTGAGCTTTTCGCTTTTGTCACTTTGGTTTTCTGATGAAAATGGGCGCTCTGCGAGTGACGTATGTTAAGGCCCCATACTGATTTACATATTGCAGTATTCCGTGAGATGCCGTTAATTCCACAGTGACCCTAGCGACCTTCTGCTTCATTTTTACACAGCGAGTCATAAATCATGTTTAGATGTTTGGTAAATACTCTAGCACTGCAAGAGACTTGCATTCAAGATCGCATTGGATGCGTTCTTCCGTATAAAATTATGTGTGATACCCTGTTGCCATCCCGAAAACCAAGCACCGGCCATTTCATTGTGGTTCTGGATTGACGACTCTGACAAAACGGATGACTGCATCACGTCAGAGTTGACCTAAAAACCAGGTGACTTCGGGTAGGAACAAACAGATGATGTGTCTTTACAAATCTGGAAAGACCCTTTTGTGGGCACACTGCATGCCCTGACTGGTTCATGCACCTGAGACCCAGGCTGCATGTCTGTGCGATCAATTTCTGTGGGCATGATACAGTCTTGGCTGTCCATTGGGTACCGAGTTGAAAGAGTCCCTACCTCCCTTTCTCTTTGTGGCCAACGAGGGAGCACTCCTGCGTGGACAGATGGATTCTGGACACTCAGTTTGTCAGGTGCCTGGAAGGCCCTCAGGGTGAGAAATTTGTAAGAAGGTGAATTTAGGTTTTGCCAGAGCACCGAAATACCTTTCAAGCGGCTTACATGTTCCCTCAAAGGGTTACATCACCCTCGCTTCTAACATAATGAAAATCTATGTGTTTTTTTTTTAAATAAATTTTGCCTGGAACAATTATGGCAGCATGTTATGTAACAGTCAGGTCTGTGAGTGTGTCCCACTTAAGTGTGAATGTGAAGTCAAGTTTATTCCCAGCAGAAGATAATTCAAATTTAATATGGCGCTGAACTTTAGGCACAAGGAGTTCCCAGCTAAAGGTTGTTAGCATGACGGTAAATTAGTAAAAGTAAAGTTAAGGGTTTTTACATGAAAATGCACACTTCCTGCCGGGGCAGTTATCAATGTTGATGGTGCTGGGCTGGGATATTTATCTTTTTTTTTCTGTTTTCAATATTCATTAAAAATTCCTATCTTCATTTACTGCACATTTACACCGACACTAAGAATTGTCTGGTCTCCACCCTAGCCTGACGGACAAAATCTACTGACGCCTGAGTATTTCAGCCAGGCCTGCAGCCTTGTAAAAAGAGCCCAGAGTGTGCGGTGTTATATAACTTTCTTTTGTCCATGAACCTGGCTCAGTGCGCTGCTGACCTGTTTTCACTAGGGGCCAGATTAGCATGCAGCGGTGCTGTGTGGCTCATCACTGCGGTGGTAGCGCGCTTTTGTCCCGGGTGGTAATCCACTCTCTCTAAATGCCCCAAACCATGGTATACTATTTCAAAACAAGGCTGGATTATCTCCACTTTTGAGAGTGAAAAAATGTCGGTAATGCTCAGCGGCCTGGTCTTTTGTTCCGAGTACAGTCTTTTGTTACAAGGCCCTTTTCCCTTTGTCCGAGTTCAGAGACCCCGGCCACGCATATAAAGCATACGTGTCCAGATCCAGAATCCCCGGCAGGAAATGGTTATCCAGACTTCATGGGTCTAAATTTCAGACATATCATTTTTATTTAGAAATGAGAGCGGAAATACTTTTGAGGATTAGAGTTTTTTAACTCTAATTATCTCCAAGATTTGTGTGACTTGATAACCAATGTTCTTTTCCTCAGCACACAGTGAGTTGTTTGGAGCCTTTTTTTTTTCTTTGTTTCTATTTTTGTCATTTTCAAATGCCCCTTTCTCCGCAGGCAATCAGCGCTGTGTGCCAACCTGCGGGGACGGCACCTATCAGTACCGGAGCGATGTTGGTGGCGGTGACGAGGCACTCAGCGGGATGGAATGTCGTCCCTGCCACTCCAGCTGCGCCACCTGCTATGGCCCGCTGGAGACAGAATGCACAGCATGCCACAATAGCATGTACCGGCTGGAGCACACTTGCGTGGGACACTGCGGAACAGGGTAAGCTACACTTGATCAGTGTTGATTGGGACACTGCAAAATAGGATAAGCTAAACTTGATCAGTTTTGTTTGGGACACTGCGGAACAGGATAAGCTACACTTGATCAGTGTCAGTTGGGACACTGCGGAACAGGGTCAGCTACACTTATCCAGTGTCAGTTGGGACACTGCAGAACAGGGTCAGCTGCACTTGATCAGTGTCAGTTGGGACACTGTGGAACAGGGTCAGCTACACTTGATCCGTGTCAGTTAGGTCTCTGCTCAACAGGGTCAGTTATACTAGATCAGTGTCATTTGGGACACTGCGGAACAGGGTGAGCTACACTTGATCAGTGTCAGTTGGCACAGTGCGGAACAGGGTCAGCTACACTTAATTAGTGTCAGTTAGGACACTGCAGAACCGGGTCAGCTGCACTTGGTCAGTGTCAGTTGGGACACTGCAGAACAGGGTCAGCTACACTTGATCCATGTCAGTTGGGACACTGCCGAACTTGGTCAGTTATACTAGATCAGTGTCATTTGGGACACTGCCAAACAGGGTCAGCTACACTTGATCAGTGTCAGTTGGGACACTGCAAAACAGGGTAAGCTACACTTGAACAGTGTCAGTTGGGACACTGCGCAACAGGGTCAGCTACAAGAATCAACAGCAGTATTTGGTAATGCCCAAAAGTAATGGCTTTCCTGCTGCCACTGTCCCCAGGTACTGGCCCGGACCGCAGAACGTGTGCCAGCCCTGCCACTTTGACTGCATGTCATGCTGGGGCAACCGTCAGGACCAGTGCATCTCCTGTGCTAGCGGCAAGAAGCTGCTAGCCGAACGCTGCGTGGACGAGTGCCCCGCCAGTCACTACCTGTCTCTGGACTTTGGTGCCGTGTGCGAGCCCTGCCACGTCAGGTGCAAGACTTGCTACGGTGAGTGTCTTTTAACTTTAAAGGGTCCACAACATGACGTTTCCTTCAGAATGTCATGTAAAACTCTCCATTCTGCTCAAATGAAAACTTTTCGGCCGGCGTGGTTAATCTCTTTGGAAAGTGCACTGTTAACTTGTAAACCATTTAAAAATGTCTGTGCAGTGCTTGTGTGCACTTTTGTTCTCCTGCTTTGTCAGGAAGACACTGTTTATCATAGAGGGATTCTAATTCAAACTGAGTGGCAAAAACTCGCTCATTGAAAATTTTTGTTGAAGAGTTTTCTGATAGGCTCACTGCCATGATTGAAGCAACAAGTGACCGGAGTGAAGAGAATTCAAGACGGCAGACTATCGGTGTTCCTGGCAAATTTTGTTGTAGAAATGGCTATGAGAGATTTAGATTCTTCCTGAAACGGCACTGCATTTCGGTTCATGAATAAGCAAGTTGGCGGTGGTGCAAAATGTTTAAAGCTACCTAAATACCCTTAAAATGGCAAAGTGAAAATGGAAAGTAGGGGTTCCTATTCAATCTGACGTACAGTAGGGTTTTATAGTTGTTCTGGTTGTTTATATTTCACGCCCTCACACACGTTGGCCTGTAGGCAGATTGAGCATGCTAGAGGGAAAAGGAAACCTTTTTGGCTGACCTGTCTTGGCAAAGAAGGGCTTTTTGTGAGAACGGTATGTCCAATTTGGAGAAAATTGGTGTCAGAATGGTCGTCAGACGTCACTCAAGAAATCCTGAAGGTTGGGTGCCAAAAGAAAGATTACACTGCGATGATATCAAAGAAAGTGCTAAGATGAGGCAGATCCCCCCCCCCCCGCTCTCACAGGGCCGGTTTGTTTCACACGGATCCAGGTCTTGATTAGTGATCTCAATGCTGGTTTATACCAGCCATGAGGTGGGGTCTGGCATCAGTGAACCAACGTCGAATCGTTGATCACGATCTAGATCCGTATGAAACAAGCTTGTGCACAAGTATGGTAGTGGGTACCAGCAAGTCCGGTCACTGTATCTCCTTATAAACTCACGTGCATGCACCAAAAGCAGAAAGTTATTGGAGTTAATTGCATGTAAATGGAAAGACCAGTGGACTCCTTCAAGAAATAATCAGGCTTTCTGTTAAAAATTGCGTCTGTGGGTGTGAGACCAAAAAAACCTTTTCGTCTGAGGTGATTTCAAGCATACGCGTCAATCTTTTTTTTTCTCTCGGCGAGAGCTGCAACAGCACCCTCTATTATCGCACTTGCCTCAACATTTTTGTGGGGAGCTTGATCAATTTCTCAGGGTGATAGATCCAAACAAGATCGTTGTTGAACAATGATTGAAGACTATGGTTACAAAGTTGTTTGTCGTCAGGTCCCGTGACTTGACAACGTGTGTCTGCAGTTGTCTGTACAATCCAACCCTGGAGGGGAAAAAAAAAAGCTGGGTCGCGCCATCAGTTCCGTAACGTCAGTCTGACCAGAGACAAACTAGTTTTTGGAGGGCCTAACACAGATATTCAACACTTTGCTCATTTTGAACAACTTTTACATACAGTCCTTGAGATTTTTTTAATGACAAGTTTTTAGGACAGACTGCAGTGCGCCATTCTTTGCAGAGTTAATGCAGCTTTTCTGTTTGTTTTTATCATTAAGACATGGGCCCATTCAACTGCCTGTCCTGTAAAGATGGCTACGAACTTGACAACTCAGTGTGTTACAGCAGATGTGATCTTGGAATGTACTTCATAAATCACGTAAGTGCTTCATGTTTGTAACCCTGTGAAGCATGCATTTTAGCTCCACAGGTTGATAAAAGTGCCACCATGGAGCAAATTTGTCATTGTAAGCATTAAGAGAGCTCATATTGGATAAAATGTGTTTGACTTTGGTGAATTCGCGAGCCATGGTATGGGGGGAGGGGGGATGTTGACTTTCTCTTGCGCATTGAAGAGCATTCTAGAAGATCTTCAAGGTGAATATGAAATGCGGGGGATCAAGACTTATTCTCCAGGTGTAATGTGAAGGTGTGGTTATGCAGCTTGACAGTTTGAAGAATTTGAAATCTTCCGGAAGTTTTTCATCCAGGTATTGTACCTTGGAATGCATTGAAGAAATGGCGGGATGGTCACAATTTGCATCAAAAAAGAATTTTGGGTGTCCAGCAGACTTTCTAGAGTACCATGCCCATGGGCATGTTTTTACTCTGAGAGAACTCCTCCTTTGAGCCCAGTGCCCTACGTAACAGGCTTACTTTCTTTTTACCTACAGACGCAGGAGTGCGCACCCTGCGACAAGGCCTGCCGGGAATGTTACGGCCCAACAGACAAGCAGTGCATCGCATGCTACAGCGGCAAGTCACTCATGAAGGTGGACGACAAGCGCTTCACTTGTTTGGTCTGCTGTCAGCAAGGCCAGGACCCAGACAGGGATAATTGCTGCAAATGCAACAAGGGTATCAGACTTTTACAGTTGCTGGGGGAGGGGGGAATGAAGCCCTTGGGAAAAAGGGTACCAGGGAAAGATTGTTTCAAAGTTTATGGGCTTTGATGCTAATGATGTATTGAAAGTTGGTACTTACATTCTCATTTCTCATTCTCATTCCTCACTTCTCATGTCTCAGTTTCATTTCTCATTCTCATTT